GTGAGAACTCTGGGTTGATGTGTCCGATGATCCATTTGCTTGTTTTCTTGGCTGTCCACATATTCTCAGGAGTCTTCTCCAACACCACATTTCAAAAGCATCAATACTCCTTCTATCCTGCTTCTTCAAAGTCCAACTTTGCTTTCATAGAGTGTCATAGGGAATAATATTGCTTGCACTATCCAGATCTTTGTAGGTATAGACACATATCTATTTCCTTACCACTGTGTGTGTGTGTGTGTCCTTATCTATAGCTTTATCTCTCTGTGTGTACCTATATATATCTATATCTATATGTACAAATGCACACACACACACACATACACAAATACCCCACTCTGGAAATTCGAAACTTTATTAGAGCCAGGATTGCTGTAGAATTCAATGGAATGTGAAAGAGTAAGATCTGAAGAGTTGGGCTTGCTCAGTAAACTGCTGTATTTATAATCCGTTGTGGCAAATCAGTGTTAACAAGGCGGCAAGACAGGATAAACATCTCCCAGTTACAGAGAGCTGGATCTGTGGCAGGTTCACGCCAAGGCTGAGTAGCGCTCCACTCTCAGAAAGTGGTTTTAGTGATTTACCTACCCTGAATTCCTAACAGAAAATCATTTAACCTGCCTTATGTTCAGTGGGGCTGGCAGTTAAGGAGGTAGCTCCTGGTTACAAGCTTGTTCTGCAACCTTGAACGCTCTCATCTGAGACTGTCTCAGTGGGATTTGATGCCTAAGTAGGTTAGTATGGAATTGAACCATTAATGTGAATTCTACAATCATGATCTCGCCATGTAATCTATCTCCCCAGGATAAAATCAGGGTGGAAGGACCATATATACCACCTATTTAGGTCCCTGAAGAAAGGTGGGATCTGAGTAAAATAACCAACTTCTAGCCGTCTTGTGGGTCAGGATTCAGAAAACCCTGACGAAAAGGAATTCCTTTGTGGATCACCCTAAGCCTAGGTTACAGAACCCAGGTATTGTATTCTTACAACATGCAGTGCCCGAGGAAAGAAGCCACGATGTGCTGTGTTAGGATGGTCTGTTTGACCCAGCAGGCTAAGTCCATAACTGAGTTTCCACAAGATGCTGAGCCACTGGACGGCCCATCCTTGTTTTGGCTGAGAGGTGTGTCGTGTAAACCTGACCATATTGTTGGCATTGCAATTGACTCTTTGTGATAAGTTGTCCATTGGTGAGGCTCAATCTTTTACTAATATTTGTTCATTGGAGGCATGTCAGAGTATGCTCCTGGGAACTGCATCTTCTTGACAAAGTGGATTTCTGTACTAAAAGTAAACGAAGAGAGAGCAAGGGTCGATTCAGGTAGACGTGCTTCAGGTTTCTGTTCAGAGCTTCCTGCTTTAGTTAGGGCATTGCCTGGGGATTGGGACCTAATAAAGTCCATGGATCCTGCTTGTTCCGGGCCCCTTTTTCTAAAATAAAAATAAAAATTAATAAACACGTCCCCTCATTTTTATAACACAGCTTACTTATATTAAGACAATGTAAACACTGTGTTAAAAGCTTCTTCTGCACTTTTTTTTTCCCTTCTCATTCAGTGTGGTGGGGAAAAGAACAGCAACAGCACCCTTTTCTTCTCTAACCCAGGAAAGACAATTTCAGTGAGATTCTCCTGAGTGTCAGGCAGGATTCTTGTGAGGAGACTAGCAGGAGTACAGTAGGTCAATATCCTATTTTCTACTGTGCAGAAGCCTCTTTCTTTGCAGGAAGTCCACGTCTGGGAAATTGAACGACAGGTGTCACTCCTCATTGGCCTCATTGGATGATATCTCTGTTCTTCCACAAAGAGCTCTTTCATTTATCATTAATGCATACTCAGAATATTGCTTGCTTGAATTCATGTGCTCAGGCACAAGTAAATATTCCTAGTTTACACAGGTGATTGCAACATGTTGTCTTTATATAAAAATAATCTCAAGTATGTGCCCCTTCCTTCCTTCCCTCCCTCCATTTTCCCTCCTTCCTTCCTTCCTTCCTTCCTTCCTTCCTTCCTTCCTTCCTTCCTTCCTT